ACCTCATACGTCATCCTCCCGGAGCTGCGTTTGTTTACAACAGTGAGCGCAAGCTAGATTAAATTGATTATTACATTTTAAATATGGTTATTTTTCTTACAAAAACGCATCGATTCGCTACAGGAGGACTTTGTTCACCCCCCGGAGCTGTGTGAGACACTTTTTTTTTTATGGATAGCCGATTTTTATTTAAGTTCTTTTGGACAGAAGCAATGCAACACACGCTGACTGCCATTAAACAGCTTGAAAGATCAAAGACAATTTTTTTCAATTTTCAGATTAATTAACTCCGACTGGATTAATCTGAAAGAAGAAAGTCATATACACCTAGGATGCCTTGAGGGTGAGTAATTTATGGGCTAATTTTCATTTTTGGGTGAACTAACCCTTTAATTAGCATTTTTAAATTAAGTAGCATTTCTGTGCCTAATTGTGTGTGTGTGTGTGTGTGTGGCATAGAGAAACTAAGGAAGAACTATTCCTAGCTTTTTTGATTTTTAAAAAATAAAAAATCACAATGCACTGTTTTTTTTTTCTTCATATGTACTCACCACAGCAGAAAGGCTGGGAACTAGTTTGACAGAGTTCTGCACCTCCTCCTCCGTGACCTCCACCACGGTGCAGTGCTCCTCCTCCAGAGGCAGAAGATCCGTGCCATCAAGAGTGACCCATGGGTGCAGCTGCCCACAGACTCAATATTACACACACTCAAGAGCAACGCTACCATCTACACTTAAAAATACTTCTCAGCAATCTTTCAATATGATTTCACCTTGATTTCTGGTAACATGATTCTAGTTTCAGGAACTTTGTCCAGCATTCTGATAATTATATCCTTCAGCCCATCACTGATCACAGGCCTGTGCAAACAACACAAAAACAATTACACCATTTCTCTCTCTGTCTGTCTGTCTGTCTGTCTGTCTATCTATCGTCTGTCTGTCTGTCTGTCTGTCTGTCTGTCTGTCGTTTTATCTATCTATCTATCTATCTATCTATCTATCTATCTATCTGTCTGTCGTTTTGTCTATCTATCTATCTATCTGTCTGTCTGTCATTTTGTCTGTCTATCTATCTATCTATCTATCTATCTGTCTGTCGTTTTGTCTGTCTATCTATCTATCTGTCTGTCTGTCATTTTGTCTGTCTATCTATCTATCTATCTATCTATCTATCTGTCTGTCGTTTTGTCTGTCTATCTATCTATCTATCTATCTATCTATCTATCTATAATATAGTAGAACCCCAAGTTTGTTTTGGTTTTTATAAAATAGTTACTATATGATGAAAATATTAATATTACTTTATATTAATATTACTTTATTTGAATAAGAATATTCATTAAGTGCCATTTTTCACTAGAAGATACAGTTCCTACATCAGTTTCAGTTCCTCGAAATATTATACAATTTAATTAATATATAAATTAATATTATACCGCTTATTTCTGTTTTCCCATCATGGTTTAGTACAGCGCTTGTGACTCACATGTCTGGGAACTCCACTGGCGCAGTCCTGATCTTTTCATGCAGGCCTAAGATGTATTCATCATGAAAAGGACACTGCACAAAGAAATACGAACAGGTCTGTATTATATCCACAGATGCTCTTAACCACATTCATATTTTAAAAGGTCAATGTCTTACCTTTCCAAAGATGAAACAAAACAGCGTCACTCCCAATGCCCATATGTCCAGAGCCTGAATCCGACGAGAGCCGTTTGTAAATAATAAGGAATCAGTGTCTTCACTGTATGTAAACCGGAATATTCTAGAAGTCTCCTCACCTTTCCGCTGAATCTCAGGTCCTGGTCAGTCAGAGTTTCAGGCGCCATGAAAGCTGGTGTTCCTGCACTGTTTGATAGGAGAGCATCATTCCCCTCAAACTCATTACTGACACCAAAATCTGCGATCTTGATGTGTCCATCATCCCCCAGCAGCAGATTGGAGGGTTTGATGTCTCTGTGTATGATTTTCTGATAGTGCACTAAAAATAAAACATGAAACAAAAACTAGCGCCAAATCCTAAAGTTTATAAATGACATTGACAAATACAAGACAACTTAAAATACCCTAGACTAGGAGAACGTACAGTATTCAATTCCTAGGATGACATCTCTGAAGTAGAAACGGGCCATTTCTTCTGATAGAGGACTGTCTGTAGGGATCTCCATCACTGGACTAGTACCGGGTGAAAATTAGAGAGATAAAAACAAACTAAAGAAACATCCAGTTTGTATATGTGTGGTAATGACCTATAGTTACAAATACTCACCCTTTAGGTACCAACTCAAAGACTATGAAAGGAACACACAGAATAAATAGAGAAAAAAAATAGATCAAAGAGTAAAAAGCAAAGTGTTTTATATCGCAGATTGCTGACTAACAGAATTTCTTACCCATGTGCAAGTTATCCTCAGCCGGATCATCAAGAACCTTCAGTTAAATATCACAGGAAAGATGCGTTTTAGTTAGTTATGGCAGTGTTGTTATTTAAATTAAAAACTGCTTGATAAAATAATATCATAAAATTAAATAGATTTAAAAACAAAATAAAGAAAATGTAAGACATAAAAGCTAATTCAGAATAATAATAAAGACAGAGTTATAATTTATAGTAGGCTATAACATATTTGACTTGTATGGTAATAAATCGCATAAAATCTAAGACACAGTGTTTGACTCACCTCAGCTAAATTAACAACATTAAGATGGTCAAGTTTCTTCAAAATAGCGATTTCCTGATAAACTCGGTCCAACAGGCCAGAGTGCTTTAAAAGATTCTCTTGTGATCCATTGGATTCTCTGGAAGGAGGTCGCCCTACACAACCATCACAACATTAATATTAATATTCTGCAGACAAACTTCACAAGAGAAAGTCACAAGCCTAAAATGTCAATTTTTATTGCTTACGTGGGAATCCACACTGCTTCATTAACTTCTTTTTGGATACCAACTTCATAGCCTGCAATAATAATAATAATTATAATAAAATAGATAAAATATTTTTAATAATAGCTAAATGTTAAAAATGATCATTTTATGGCTAAATCCTTACAGAAGAAAATATAATTTTACAACACATATATGCTTACATAATACTGGTCATCATCTTCATTATATGCTAATTTGACCACCCCATATGAACCCTGGGTAAAAAACAGAAGATATAGCCAATCAATCATAAATATGTAAAACAAATTAAGATTTTTAAGTAGAATTACCAACCTTTCCTATCTTACTCTTCAACTTGTACTGGTTTAGCTGGACACAGTCCTGTGGGTAGAAATGGGAATGTATTATTGTTTGTATAAGAAATATAAAAAAATACATATTGACATTTTATTACACTCATATTTTGAGTATGACTCAGTGGCCAAAAACATAAAAGAAACAGCATTAAAAAAAAAAACATTTATTATTTTGCAAGAAAATATTTCAGTCTTTACTTCAAAATTTAATATTTTAATTTAATGACTTTCTTGACATTTCTTTATAATTATTTGTGAAATTTACAAGCAATTGTGTGAAAATGGTAAATCCCACACCTAAATGCATTCTTGATAACCATGCATTCTACAGTCTGATATTGTGACAGCTCTAAAGAATTCCACGTTCATTTTTGTGAACATACTCCACTGATGCTCAACAATCCGAGGTAACACTGCTGCAAAAGTATAAAATCTCCTGCCCAACTCACATCCCCATCAGAGATAGACACCCGCTTCGATTCAATAGTGGGTCTTCTGGCTATTCGTGGGGTGACGCCACTCTGGTAACTGGATCGCTCCTGCAGTGACAGCTTGCGATCGGAGAGATTGAGGCGATGTGGGGTGGTCCTGTATCCATTAGGAGGGGTCAGTCTGCTGGCAGCCATGTTCATAGCTGCTACCATGTCCGCCAGTTCAGAATGGTAATCGGGGTCTAGATCCACCCTGTTGGCTGTGTCGGCACTCATGACTGTCCTGCTGCAGTCTGAGCTGCTTAGAACAAAGTAATCATCTCAGTGAACACTGCAGAGCCCGGTGATCTTCAGAGGCACCATAGGAACATCAAACTGTAAAAGCAGAATTGCATAGTTGAGTTTGACAGCAGTAAGATGCACACTCACTGCCATAAGTTCAAACACATTTAAGTGATGCATTGTTCTCTTTAGATTCTAGAACTTTTCACGTTTCAGGTTTAATATGGTTTTATTACTGCTATTATGAAAGCACACAAAATGGACCACAGATAAAGAGAACAACTCATAAAAGCATCTGTACTAACATGCATCAACAGAGAAAATGTATTGTAAAACAATGGCTTCATAATGGCTTGATTAACAGGGAAGCACAAAAATAAAAGCAAAAATGGTTAAAAATTATAATCCAATTTATGGTCCTGTCTGATTCAAGGTTATTGTTATTAACTAAAGCCATTAAAAACCAGACATTTTTATTACTTGAAATAAAATAAACATTAACTGAAAAAAAAAACTTAATTTATTTTTGCTACACATTTGTCTTTTTTGTTTAGTTTAATTTGAAGTATTAAAATAGCTCAAATTAAATCTTAATAAAAACTATATAGACATTAAACACAACATACTAATAAAAATAATAAATCACAGCAAAAATACAAAATTATAGGTAAAAAAGATCAAATAAAATATATAATCTACATTAACTGAAATAAAATCTAAAAACTTATTTTAGCTAGTTGCTGAAGAAACATTTGTCAGTTAATTAAAATATGAAGCCGTATTAAAATAACTAAACCTAAAAACTTAATGAAAACTATATAGACATTTGTACAAACCTATAAAAATGACCAAATTAAATAGCTAAAACATTAATTATAACAACAATAAAATCTAATAAACATGAACTGAAATAAAATAAAATATGAAAAACTTTTTAAGTTGAAGTATTACAACTAAAACTGAAAGTTAACTATAAATGTAATAACTATACACTATATACTATAAACGTATAAAAAATACGAATGATAAATGCATGACAAAATTACTAAAACTTTAACAAAATTTACAATAAAAAAGGAGAAAAGAAGAAAATCTAATTCAAAATAATAATAAAAGCATAGTATCTCAGTTATACTAAATAACACTGGTCTGATTTTCACTATAAAAAACATTCTGAAAAAAAAAAACAGTCTAACCTCAGACATCATATATTGTCTGAGTTATATCAAATAGGATGTGAAATATTGATATCTTATTTAAAACATACAAAGCATTTAAACATGTTAAAAAACGTTGCAGAAGTGTGTGACCTCAATCAAAAAAGATTTCTAGTTTTTCCTATAGTATACATAGGAGTTGTTATTACTTACATAGAGCAGCAAGCGATTGAATTGCTAGCCATAGTGTTGCATGGTCTTCCACTCATCAGGCAGAAAACACTGCTGTGCCTCTGAAGCCCAGAGGACTCCAGACTCTTTGGGATCACCGAAGCAAAGAGGATTAGCTAGCATGGTCACATTTAGTCCAGCGTGGCTATATCTGTTCCAAAAGACTGTTTACATGAACGGACTGCAGTCAGTGAAAGGACATGAACAGTGATCAGTGAGTGATACATTCTGAGGGCAAGTGCAGTAAAGCACCTACGGTGTGAACACACAAAGTATGACAAGTTAGTCCGGTTGCAGGGTGGAAAGGAAATGATGGCTAAGTGGCTAAGTTCTTGGACCTTGAAGTCAAAGTATAACAGGATAACACTTTAGAGTTAAAGTAACATACTCTTGAGACAGTTTATCAGGAGGGAAAGAAGATCAAGTGTTATGTAACCTCATATAGGACAGCAAAATTGGATTCAATCCAAAACAAAGATACTTTTATAGAACACGTCAAGCTTTTTATATTCGGTGCATTGTCAGTTTTGTCATATTCTTGACACTTCCCCCCTGTTCGGAAAATAATCAGAAGGGTCATGTATCAGTTAGATGTCCTTTCCAATTTTAAAATGATATATTTTAATGTTATGTTAATTTAATGAAAAATAATATATTTGAATATGACAATGTAATGTAACAGGGTTGATGATAGCATGTTGACAGTTTTATAATTCATTTGGCCATGTTCATGGTATTACTAGAAAGAGTATAATGCTGATACTTCTAAAAAATATCTCATTTTAAAAGACAGATTGTTTTCTAGAAAATCACAGTAACAGCCCTGTTGAAAAAAAAAACAGCATATGCTGGTTAGGTATGTTTTGAAGCTGGGATGCTGGTTTGAGCTGGTCCTTTGCTGGTTTATGCTGGTCGGACCAGTTTAGGACCAGCATAAACCAGCAAAGGACCAGCATAGGACCAGCAAAGGACCAGCTTAAACCAGCATCCCAGCTTCAAAACATACCTAACCAGCATATGCTGGTTTTTTCAACAGGAAGGGTTGACAATTTATTGCCATACTGTTTTGCTATGCAAAATTAAATAACAAGTGCAAAAACGAGGACACAATTACTTGTTCTTGCAGCATTCACTTCCTGAAAGGGTGATGATGTCATTTTGAATTTTGTTTATTTATCCACCTTATTTTTCCCATAAGAACGAGCGTGGCCATTTGTAAATTTTATGGGACTGGCTTCCGGTGTCATCCGCTTCCAGCTATTTTTAGCTGTACAAAACAGCTCGTTTAGCTGCTTGATATTGCAAATTGGTGTATCTTACCATATTATTTTAATGTATTATCTTAATTATGAACAAACTGGTTTGTAGTGGAAACAGTTTTACTGTTTACTGCACATTGTTATTCTTCTCGTTATTCCCTAAAGCGGCTAATGAACCAGAAGTCTCGCACATTTACAGAAAACGGCTTACTTCCGCGTTGAAAAAAAGGCGGGTAGAACAGGGGAAAATAAAATGGTAACAGGGTTGCCAAGTCTTTTAATAATAATTTTTTTAAGAATAAATATACTAGTTATATTTTTATGTTTATTATTAGCATATTTGCTATTATAACAAAGGAAATTTGGAAACAGGTAGGTCTATAATAAATAAATAAAAAATCAAATAAAGCCAGTAAATGTGGACGATCATTATTCACGTTTCATAGAATTAAACATAGATAATTCATCTAAACAGTAGAATATACAGACAGATAATACGGCTAATATTTTCTAATGTTTTTCTAAGGTTATTCTAACTATTCTAGAGCTGTCCAAGGTGCTGAAGACCCTCATACATTTTGACTCATGTTTTTGTGCTTGTCCTCATCTACATTTATCAAGGGTGTTGGAAGAGAATGTGTAGTTCTTTGTTGGTATGTTGGCTCCAATGAAAGCTCTGAAATCCCTAGTAACCAACCTCTCTGGAGCTTGTGATCATGTTACAAGATGTACAAATGCAGCATGATCTCACAGCATCAAGTCCTGGGTGAGAGGCAGTGTTTTCATAAATGGGCTGCAATGCCTCTTGAAGGGGATTCAATGCTAAATTCGGACAATCTCAAACGTTTGAACACTGCTCAACTTCTGGAGCTCCTGGAAGACGAGGAAAGGATGCGAGAAACAGTCAGACACAATTCAAAGGTACTGTTCAACACCTAACTACACAGTCACGAACGACAAAAAATGAAGACAAAAAAAATTCTGGTTGTCAAAAACGTTAGTTAAACTAAAAATGATTTTGAGATTAGCTGATTGCAAAAATTGCTCAGAAAAGTTATAGCTCTGAGAAAATGTCAGGTAGCATTTGTTGCAGATTGCAAAGTGTCTAAATACTTTTATAGTGTCATTGTACATGACATGACCTGATCTGAAGGACTTGCCTGCAGTTACAGCATCTTCAGAGGTGTAAAAAGATCTTGATGGCCTCCAACTGTTGGCTTGCAGAGCAGAACTTAGCACATCAGCCACATCTGAACAACTCTAAAAAGCTTTTAGCTGAAAAGTACCAGATTCTTGGTCAAATGGTGTCTTCAGTGCGACGTAAACAGAGAAAGCTGGGTAAGTTCTTGGTTGGCTTGTAATATAATGCTTTTTTCTAATGTGTGTCACTGTATAACTGATCTAATGCTTGTGCAGAAACTTTGCAGCAGAAACTCAGCCTTCGAACGATTCATAAGCTTCTTAAGGAGAAGACCAGTCATTCCTTGAGTCATTCTGAGGTACAGCTGAGATATGCGTTTCATGAAATGCAGATTCAGATTTCAAAGACTTGAAAGAGTGGTTTCAAAGTTTTGATTGAGATTTCTGTCTTTCACTCTCCAGAATCTCTGGCAGAAGTTCATAGAAGGAAAGCTTCTGCTGACAGATTTTGTGGAATCACTTCAAAGCTCTCAGATGTTGTGTCATCGACGCCTTTTTCAAGCCGAGAAGATCCATAACCTCATCATACACGCTCAAATATACAATCAAGATGCTGATTTTTGCCGTTTTGGGCATCATCCAAACTTCCTGCACTCACCAACCACAATCAATGTTTTCAGTGGCACCGCTCCTGTTATCTTGCTGCCAGGTTTCCAGTATCCTCATTTATCTCTAATATCAAATCTTCCTCCTCTTAAGCATCATGGCTGTGTCGACACATGCTCCACTTTGATATTCAAAAATGAATCGAGCACTGAGACTCGCCGATGGCCACAAAGACATGCTGCTTTACAGCCACTTGACAAGATTCAACCTCACATTTACCAGACTCCCAAGTAAAGGTGTGATGCTGATCTGGGAAAAAAAACACACTAAACAAAACTTTTGTGTGCAATTTGTCATCATTGATGTATTAGTCAAATAAACAAATGCAACCAAGTAAATATAACAATTTTTTCATCAAAGCCTCCTCCACTCTATGTAGTAAAATGGTTAATAATTGGTGATGGTTCATAGTTTTCATCTATTATATTTAGCTTAATTTGCTGCCATCTTCTATAGCTCAGAAGCTGTCAGTTGATTCATCTGGTTTAGAAGAAGGTCAACACGAGGACCAGTTGCTTGATTGGACTCATCTCTCTAATTAGAGCTCATTAAACAGGCTGAGAGGGTAAAGGAGAGCTTTTGTCAGGCCGTTGGCTTCTTTTGTCTCTGGATAATACTTTGGTTACATCACTGTCAGTAGGTGCCATTGTCTGCAGCAGCTCAAATTGGGCAATTTTCTCATCTGTCAGCTAAATGCTTCTAGCCTTTGAGCAGCTCAGTCTGACAGACATTAACTGCCCCAGACAACTGACAACGTTTATAAGAGGTAAAACTAAATAGTGAGAACAGGACCTTCAAAAACAATTACCGTAGATGGAAATACAAAATTCTTTATTACAAAAATAGATTCATTACTGTAAATAAACAACTTTTTTAATGCTCACATTATTAAAATTACTGTTAAAACGTATATACCATATTGCATCATGTAAGACATAAATAAGGATCCCAATCACATACTTTAAATATAAAAAAATGAAAACAAACACAGAAATCTTGAATGAATGTATTAACTTTCTTCTGTAAATTTCGAAGCAAATATTTTTGCAATTCTTCTAGTCTCTTCACTTCTCTGTGATGGAGGGATGCTTGGTCTTGATCGAGGCATTCTTCTATATAGATTTCCAGGATTTACAGTCTCCTAAAAGAATGAATTTTAATAGCTAAATCATGACAGGCTTAAAAACAAATAAATAATTTTACAAATAAGAAAAGCGTACCACGATCCATGAACTTTGTAGATTGTGCTTACAAGATAAAGATTAGTCATTATGGACCACATTTGAAAATGTAGTCACTCATATCTTCTGAATAACGCCAATAGACTAGGATACGCTTAAACAGTAGGTTTTTCCAACAAAAAAAAACCCCGGTGTTAAAGGAATATATATGATCAACAGATTTGAGAGGAGGCTTCAGGACAGACTGACAGACATAAAAGACAAACAGACAGATAGAACAATAGATACAATAGAATGATATTTCCACCAACTTGCAACCAAGGGTGTTAAAATACTATTGGGTAAGCTGGCAGTGGGCGAAGTCACACAGACCAAAACAAAAACAGACATTCTGACACAGAACGCATAATTCAAGGTTGAATAACTGGCTGTAGCATTGTTTTTCAGAGAAACAAGTATGTGAACTTCGCATGTTTCCTAAATATCTGCAAACATATTACAGTATTTTTATGCTTTAGTACAGTCAAAAAAAGAATACATACAGCACATTTAACTTTTTCAAGATTACCAAACAGTAGCAGCAGCTTTCATATTGTTCAAAAAAATGGGAGTACTCACAGATTCAGTTGTTGCCGATGGAAAGACAGGTGCCATCCTCAAAGCCCTCATGGACGCCTCCAGATGGTGAGCCGACAGGAAGAAATTTGGAATCTCTACAGATTCCAAACTGCACAGGGGTGTTTAGATAAAAATAACCCAGATATGTTTTAATACAAGCAGAAGTTTAAAACACTTGTCCTACAGACTTCCATTTATAATGGACGTCTATGGGGCAAGTGTCAAAGTTTTTTGTTGGTTTTTACAAACTGAGGCAGATGAAGACTTTTTTTTGTGGTAATCAGCAGCATGCCACATATGCTGTCAAAAGAACTAGAGAAAGAATTGACATTTTCAGGTCATACAAAGCTTGGAAGGATACGGTTTTGCTGTTCTCTCATCACTTTTATCATCTGTTTCAGAACCAGACTCTGCAGAGGGAGGCAAGTTTGGTCTCTCATCGCTTTCTTCAGGTTCACTATTACTTTGTTCATAATCTTCCACCTCACTAATACTAGAAAGAGCACCATTTCCATCCAGACCATCTGGAGAAGGTTGCTGTTCCCGATGGTCTGTGGCAATAGCACCGTCACTCCTACATGTATCGAGATCAGTTTCAGATCTTTCACAGATATCGGAATCAGAATCAACAGCTTGTGATTCTGCAGTCAATGACTGCGGGTTAAAGTCTGGAAGAATTTCTCTGCTGTTTCTTTCCTCTCCTTGAGTGTGCATGGTGTCGTCATGAGCGTGATGCTGCACTAACTCCAGACTCTCCAGAGATCCCATATCTGGGTCAGACAGTAGGCTGGTCCAAGGGCTGGTTCTGTCTGTGACTGAAGTGACCTCATTGAGTGTGCGGGGCTGTATTAAAGTTTCCTCAAAGTCTTCATGCTCATCCTCATCTTTTTCCTCTTCATCAGATGAGTGATCGCTGGAGCGGTGGTGGAGCTTTTCATCTTCAGCAGCAGCTGGTGACTGTCTGATCTCTGCAGGAGCTGGAGAGCTGATGGGCGAGACTTCATCTTCATCCTCCGACATCATGTCTGATTCCTTATGAAAGCGTGGCTCTATCTCACAGCTATCAGACTCTGATAATATCAGCTGATCTACTCCAGATGTTAAGTGCTCCTCAACCACATCAAGAGTAGCAGAGCTTTTATGGCTAGTTGTAGCCTCTTCTGTCTGGTGTTCACTTAAGCCTGATTTAAAATAAAGAGTTAAAAATGGCTTTACATAAACAGGAAGTCACACTAACAGTTAACAACTGACTCACCTTTTATGATGTTATTGACCTCTCCCACCAGCTGACTGGACTTCAGTAGCAGTCGAGTGGTGTCGGTCTCGGAGTCTCTATGCTCGTCCAGCCTGGAGGTTCCTCTCAGCTCACTCAGCTTTGGGAAGGCTGGAGTGGACAACTTTCGGCTGAAATACCTTTGAATATCATCCAGCTCACTGAGGTTTTTCCTAAAAATGCAACAAAAAAAATTCCATTGACAATCAAAAATGAAAGCCAAAGTGGAATGAACTGTCAATCCACATAAATACCTAAATCTAGAAAATAAAAAAATGATCGGATTGTGTTGAATCTAGGGATGGGCAATAATATGGGCTTAAAAATATATCATGATATTTCTGGTATTTATTGTGATAACGATATCAATGACGATAATTCAGGGAATCCTGTTTGTTTAGAGAAAAGTATTGTCTTTCCTATTTTTACTCATAATAGGGTGTTGTGAGCATTACTGAGTACACATGTAATGTAATGACTGTTTAATTCATACTGCAAGCCGGAGGGTGCCCTTGCGCAGAAACGCCACATATGCATCGCAGAAGTTATACTACTGACACGCTCCATGAAATCCCTAATATGGACAAAGGTATCCAGTTAGCTCAGCTGAATAAAATGCACAACGATTGCACAAAATATATGGTTTATTGGTGTTCTTCAAGCAATCTTGGGTATTTTTTATAAGGAAAGTATATTTATAATGCAATGCTAATCGACATATCCTTTATCATTGTATATAATACTATCATTCTGTAATATGAAAGTTAATTTGGAGAAAAAGCATGTCAATAAATGATATCTTTGTTGGACAACAGGTTTGTAAACAGGCTCATACACATGAAAAACTGTAATCGCACACAGGCTACTGTAGTACATTTATTCAGACCGATTTTTTTGTGCACTGTACAGCCCTAATCAAACCAGTTCCAGATTGTAGAAGGAGCTCCTCATTTAGCGATAAACTCCTCAGTTTCACACAGTGTTGCCAACTTAGCAATTTTGGTGCTAAATTTAGCAACTTTTCACACTACCCTAGCAACTGTTTCTTCCAAAAGCACCTTAGCAAAATATGTAGCTATTTTCAAAATTTATTTAGCAATTTTTAGCAACTTTTGATAAGTGACTCAAACGATAAAAAGGCACACAATTTCCATCTAAATTACACAAAATGAGGAAACCAAAGATGCCTAGCAGTACACACATCACATGAATTAAGTTAGCTGCTATTTGCAATTGTTCAATTTAATAATAATAATTGAATAATTGTTAATTTATGATACACCTTAGCTTGTACCTGTGATTGTTGATCAGTTAGTACACTGTAAGAAAAATATTGAGAAAAATGGAAAAGGTTCTAGTAATTTTTCAGGACATTATGTCCGGGGGGTGAACAAAGGCCTCCTGTAGCGAATCGATGCGTTTTCGAATGCGAGTGCTCGAATGCGAATCGTAAAACGCAGCCTATTTTTCATTTTTGGGTGAACTAACCCTTTAACATAGTAGATTGTGCCCTATTTGTACAGTGTAGCATACAAACTAATTACTAGTACACTGCTTAAAACTATAATTGTTCAGAATGTGTAGTTTTATTAGTTTATTAGCTAATAAAAAATATATATAATTGTAATGGCTTAAAAATGTGTAAGTGTTCAATAAATCAATGTTGTATTTAAAAATACAGTTATTTATATTTTGTTATTATATAATGTATTTATATTATTTTACGAACAAATCTAAATTAACATATACAATATATGTTTTGCTGAGATTTGATGTAGTGACACCTTTTTGCGTCGTAATTACGTAATAATTTCATCACGCAATGACATCACAACGTCATTTAGCAACTTTTAGCAACAAATCGACTTTCCTTTAGCAACTTCCCCTAAAAATTAGTTGGCAACACTGGTTTCACATCCGCCTTCCGTGATGTCGCTCCGCACTGTCGCACACAGAAATATGTCAGCAACTAGACTTTATCGTTATTATCGTGGGAAGACTAATTCTTATTGTGGGGAGAATTTTTACCAGTATATCGCAAACGATAAGATATCGCCCATCCCTAGTTGAATCCATAATATTTGCTATCTTAAATAATCTGTTAAATAACAAAATAAAGTAAACATTAAATCTGACAAATAAACTACTGTTCTACTGTTCCGAAGGCTTGGGTCTGCTTTTTAATGTTTTTGAAAGAAGTCTCTTATGCTCATCAAGGCTGCATTTATTTAATCAAAAATACAGTAAAAATAAAAACAATTGTGAAATATTATTACAGTTTCAAATAACTTTTCTATTTTTATAAATTTTAAAATGCAATTTATTCCTGTGATGGCAAAGCTGAATTTTCAGCAGCCATTACTCCAGTCTTTAGTGTCACATGATCCTTCAGAAATCATTCTAATGCTGATTTGCTGCTCAAGAAACATTTCTTAATATTTATCAATCTTGAAAACACTGTTGATGTTTTTTGTGGAAAGTTCAAAAGAACTGCATTTATTTGAAACAGAAATCTATTGTAACATTATAAATGCCTTCACTGTCACTTTTGTTAAGGAATAGTATTTGCATATGCAGAACTTCTATTTGGAATACATGTGAAGAACAATATTTGGATTTCATATGGAATCTGATCATAATCTGATGTGACATCTCAATCTTTCATCCAGGAAGCAGAAGACAGTGTGGGTACCTGAGGGCAGAGAAGAGTGCTGAACTGGATGGGTGGGAATCTCCAGCGAAGGAGGACTGGGACGCTTTCTCTTCCTCATGCAAACTCTGATGGAACATTCTTATGTTGTCCATATGCTCATCGTGGCGATCCGTCACACTGCACCTGAACATACATCCCCACAGTTATTACTTCAGACAGTAAATCTGACAATAAGGCAGCTTTTCTATATCATTTTCCCTAAATAGATACCTGTCAGACAGCAGTCTTTCAAATTGATCAGGAGGTGTGCTGATCCTCTGCTCTGAGAATCGACTGATGTGGCTGGGGAAGCTGCTGTACGTAGCTGTCGTTGAATAGCAAAGTGGAAGTGCACTAAAGAGAGCCTGCAAAAGACACATAATCATCACCACATGACAACTGTGTAGACATTATTAGGTGAAACTAACTGGACACTTATTTTTATACACTACCAGTCAAAAGCTTGGAATAATTCAGATTTTTTTTTATGTTTCGGAAAGAAATCTCTCGTGCTCACCAATGCTGCATTTATTTGATCAAAAACACAGTCAAAACAGTAATACTGTGAAATATTATTGCAATTTAAAATAAGTTTTTTTTATTTTAATGTATTTTAAAATGTGCTAACTCTTGTGATGGCAAAGCTGAATTTTCAGCATCATTACTCCAGTCTTCATTGTCACATGATCCTTCAGAAATCATTGACATGCTGATTTGCTGCTTAGTTCTGTCTGTGTAATATTTTTGTGGAAATCAGGATACTTCCATTCTTTTGAATGGTAGCATATGGTTTCCAAAAAATAGTGCACAACAAAAACTTTTTCAACATTGAAAATAATAAGAAAGGTTTATCTGTAAATGGCTTACACTTGAGTCTGGAGCAGAGGCCTCGTGGGCAGGCAGTCTTTGTGCACGGAATTCCTGCACTGCCCTCAGAGGAGACACAGACACCTTCAGCTGCCCCTGACACTGCCCGCTGAAATCAGTGATGTTATACCAGCCACAAACTGACTGAAATCCTGACAGAAGTGGTGACAGGTCAACAGACACGAATCCAATCACCCGCTCAACCTCTGCAAACGAAAACATAATGCAAAACTAATCTTTTATGGCGAAATATGGTGCTAGGGTGTTGTGAATGATTGCTATGTCATTACCTCCTTTATGCCAAACTTTGAAAACCAAGGACTGCTGGGGATCCAAAAGTAGCTCCTTCGACAGTCTGAAAACAAAAAACAGCCACGAGTTTAACATGGGCCCTGTTTCCACCTTGTATTAAGATGCATACACGCATGACCGCTTCCACCTGGTCTTTACATGCATCTCCTGTGACCACTTGTGTTCGGATTTCATCGAGATCCTCCCCTCTTTTGTATAATTTGTCACAATTCACTTTCTGTGAAAAGGAATGTCAAATGGGTTTACCTGCATTCTTGCTGGTGGTCCCACATGGGGCAGTCACTGTCTTTGATGAGTGCTGTGGTCACTGTGCCCGGGGCATCGGTGATGGCGTAAGAAACACAGCAACTAGGCAATCCTCCACCACGCTCAGCGAGAGGACAACCTAAGGATGACAACAGCGTTAAAACAAGGTACTTGTAAACGAGAATGAAGTCAAATCAGGAATCCCTGTGGTTATTTTACCCTTCAGGCTCAGATGCATGGCTCTGTCCACAGTTATGTTGGCTATGAAGGTGTCTTCATTGTTGATCTCTTTGGATGTTGGAGCTTCAGTGTTCATGGTTGATTTGATCAGCTGTCTGCTGGGGGATTGAAATGGTCTTGACAGCACTGTGGTGGGGAGGCCTCCATCCTCCTCATCTTCTCCTGAGCTGTTGAGCTCCTCAGGGGCTTGAGGCTCATGTGGTACAGAGTCTGTTGTGACAGTGATATGGACTCTGAGAGCAGCGCCACTCAGGTTTACAGCAGAGCGCTTGAACAAAGGATACACACCTACCATGAGAGAGAACCATGTGTTAGTCAGGAGAGAATACCAAAATGTTACCAAAATATTAGATTAGTAATGAGCAGAGGACACATCATTGGAAAGTAGGATTTTCCTAGCACTTCTGAGATCAACTAAAACTGGGGTTCAAAATAGGGACTGAAATGTATTAAATTAAATCAAATTTCTGTTCTTCAACAAAATGGCAATGAAAGGAAGTGCTTAACCTTCAGAAATCAAAGAGATCTCAAACTAAACCATACCTATACATGTTGTTTTATTTTACATTTATTTGATATACAGTTCAACCCCATTACCAAATATTTCTCTATAAATAAAGTCTTAATAGATTAATAATTTCAAAAACACCAGGATAGGCAAAATATTGGTTAGTAATTATATAAACTTTAAATTAAATTAAAATATACACTATCATTTAAATGGTCTGTGATAACATTAATGTTATAGAAGATTTCTATTTCAAATAACGCTGTTCTTTTGAATTTCTATTCATCAAAGAATCCATCAGCAAATTAGAATGATTTCTGAAGGATCATGTGACACTGAAGACTGGAGTAATGATGCTGAAAATTCAGCTTTAGTGTCACATGATCCTTCAGAAATCATTCTAATATGCTGATTTGCTGCTCAATAAAACATTTATTATTATTATTATGTTGAAAACAGCTGAGTAGATTTTTTTCAGGTTTCTTTGATGAATAGAAAGTTCAGAAGAACAGCATTTATTTGAAATATAAATATTTTGTAACATTATAAATGTCTTTATCATCATTTTTGATCAATTTAAAGCATCCTTGCTAAAAGTATTAATTTCCATAATTTCTTCAACCCCCCAAAAAATAATAAAAAATAAACATACTGACGCCAAGCTTTTGAATGTATATAGTGTATAATGTTACGAAAGCTTTTTATGTCAGATGAATGCTGATCTTTGGATCTTTCTATTGATCAAAGAATCCTGAAAAAAAAATGTACTCAACTGTTTTAAATATTGATCATCAGCAAATTAGAATGATTTCTGAAGGATCATGTGACACTGAAGACTGGAGTAATGATGCTGAAAATTCAGCTTTGCTATCACAGAATTACATTACAATACATTCAAATAGAAAACAGCTGTTTTGAACTGTAAAAATATTTCACAATATTACTATTTTTACTGTGTAAATAAATATATATATATATATATAATATAAAAATAATGTAATAAAATTAACAAGAATATTTCCAAGTAAAACAGACAAGTTTTTAAATTCTAAAAAGTAAATATTGTAAAAATAAATAAATAATAATACTATATTATATATCAATTAACACTACAACATAAAAATAAATCAAAAACTTAAATCCTATTAATATTTAAGACTTTCATACCACTTCTTTTATGAATCAGATCTGCAAGTCTAATTTTCACAGTGCCCAAGACAGTGTCCTTCGATCTTGTGGTATCAGCCACTACAATGAGATAAACAAAACAGGCAGTATATAGTATTTATAATGCTGGAATGGAGTGATAATACTAAAAACTAACAAGTAAATATTAAATGATTCTAAACAGTAAGTGTTAAGACATAAAAATACAGAAAAAAAAAGTTTAAAAAAAAAATGTGCCTGAAAATATGTACAGTAAACAGGTAAAATATCCTTTTCAAACAGAACTAAAAATAAAATAATAATAATCTATACCACTTATGTAATGTAATAATACTGAATCAGCAGACAAAACTCAATCTACCCACTAATTAAAAGCCATTTTTTATTCCATACAACACAGATCTACACCTACACACATTTTTGGATCTTTTGCACGATGGGATTATGCAATAAAGAGCTGCATGTTTTGTGGAGTCATATGTAAACCAAAGATATCAAAACATCCTTAAAAGAAGTGTGTCATGTGAAAGAAAATTTAAATCTCCACATGTCTGTCTACCTTTCCAAGTCGGGTAACTCACTTTTGCGTGTGTCTCTGTTGTAAATGGTGAAGACGGCCACTGCCTCCTGCAGGAGTTCAGCCAGACTGACACTCTCCCCGCTGTCTCTCTGCACCAGCAGGTTACAGCAGAACTCGGCGTGATGTTCAAACTCTGGGCAGAAACTTCGGGCCGCCACACGTGTACTTCGAACCTCACTGTCCGGCAGGAAGGACAACTGCACGGTGATGAAGGAGTTGAGCCCCACTTCAGAGTAATACAGCAGTGAGCTGTCTGCATCTGCAAGAGCTCTGAGAAACAAAAAAATAGCAAATAAAAATACAATTTAGATGCCAAAATTATACTCCATGTAATGTTAAATCAATTTAATCAAGCTAGACTGCGGTTGGGGTAATTGGTTAAAAGCTAAAGGCAGATTTGAGGCAGATTGACTCACTTGGCTGCAGCTTGTAGCCCGGCTGCTCTGTGCACCTGCACAACCAGCATCACTCTGCGGGACGGCACAACCCCACTCTTCACTCCCACACTCCTCATTGGTCGAGACTTGTACTGAACACTCACTTCAAGCAGCCCTACAGGTAAGCACAGATGAAAACAGGTTTTACTTTATTACATTGGTTTAAAATCCATATAACACTATATATGTTATCTGCAGTTTTAAGATAATAAGATATGCAACTACCAGGGGGCTGAGGCTGTGTGTCGACAGGTCGGTCGGTTCTTGGTACCAGAGGAAGGGAGAAAAGTTGTGCATCGGTTTGACCCTGTTTCTGCATGGTTACCATGGCACACAGTTTGGACATGGGCAGCAGTCCTCTGGCTACTAGCTGATCTCTAACATTTGGATAATAATACCTGCAAATGTTTCAATAGGCTTATAAATAAGTCATATTTAAAAAAAATAAATAAATTAAATTAAAATATTACTAAATATGTGACATGTTTTTAAATTATACAAATGTAAAAAATAAATTAATAGAATTAAATAATACAAATATTACCAAATAAAAGTAATATATTTTTAAATGCTGAAATAAATAAATGTAAAAAATAAACAAATTAATAAAATAAAATAATAATAATATTGGCAAATAAAATATTGCTAAAATAAAATAATGCTTTAAACGTTTAAACATAAAAAGCAAACAAATAAATAAATAAAAATATTTAAAAATAAAAGAGACAAGTATATAAATAAAAAATTGTCAAAGAACAAGCTTTTAAATGCTAAAATGTAAAAACATTTATTAAAATAAAAAATAAAAATATTGCAAAAAAACCCAAATTTTTAAATGCTAAAACGTAAACAGCAAATAAATAAATAAATAAAACAGACATGTTTTTAACTCATAAATAAAAAAAGGCGATTTATGGAAGGTAGGTATTAGAAACACTAAATGCCATGAGTGATGTAGAGTCTGATGGTAAGTTATGCGTCCTGGGTCGGCTCAACATCCGACGGCTCATCTGACAGTGATCCAGATATCATATTTACATGTTTCAGCCTAACGTTACTCTAATTGGTCAAACTTTGGTTTGATTATTTAATTTTTGTCTTACCATATCGTTTATTGTTCGCTACTGTGTTGCTATTCTAGTCTGGCCGTTTCCTGAAGAAAAAAAAAATCTGATCTATAGATGTAATGAATAAAACCATTTT